AAATTATTTAAATTATTTAATTCGGGTCGGGAATTAAATAATTTAAATCCGGGATCCCTCCCAATATTTAAATTATTTAATTCCGGCCGTACACACATAGCAAAACCAGAACCGGGTCTATTTAGCAGCTGGTCGTGGTGTATTGTTCCATACCCACGGTTCCAGCTGCTAAATAGACCCGGTTTAAGCTGCACACGGGGGGGGGGGCTCGGATGGAATTTTGGAGGCTGGATTTAATTTTGAGTGGGGGTTTCGCTCTTGTGGTCTATTGCCTCAAAGCATTTGGCGTAGTTTAGAAGCCTTCAGGGCGTTTGTGTGGCTGTGGTAGGGTGTGGTAGGGTGTAGGGTTGGGCTGGTGTGGTAGGGTTCGGAGCTGAGGCGACGGGTACTGAGGGCTTCCAGGTTTAGGGTTTAGGGTTTAGGGTTTAGGGTCACATACTTTCGGTGTTCGTGTCTAGGACAGTCCAATGCATTAGTTTCGGGTGGAAGGCTTCGCAAAGAGTAAGGGAACCCTGTCCAAGGCCCACAACAACGCTAAAGCTTAAACCACTACAAAACCAGGGTTGACTCTATAACGCCTAGATACATGATCTGAAAGTTCCCCTCAACTGCGACTTGGGTAGTTCTCTAAATTAGGATCCCTTTTTAGGTCCCAAATATAGTGCAACACCCTCCTAAAAAGGATCCTAATCTAGAGACCTACCTACATAATCTAGAACCCCTATAGTACCCTTACAGAAACCCTTATAGATCCGTCTTTGAGGAACCCTAAACCCTAAACCCTAAACTCTAGACTCTAAACCCTAAACCCTAGACCCTAAACCCTAAACCCCAAAGCTCTAACAGGGGACCCTACGTTAACATCCCGCCTCATGGTAGGCCTCGGCCAGAGATGGGTCATTCGTGAACATCTTCCTCAGCAGCTTCGGGGCTGCCGGAGTTAGGGTTTAGGGTTTACACTCTCACAGGCTTTGGGATTAGGGTTTAGGGTGTAGGGTTTCAGCACTCACACTCGGACGAGGGTTTAGGGTTTAGGGCTTACGGATTAGGGTTTAAGGCTTTGGGATTAGGGTTTAGGGCTTAGGGTTTAGGGCCTTGGGATTAGGGTTTATGGATTTTAAACCTAGGCGCTAAACCCTAAGCCTTAAACCCTAATCCTATAAGGTAATCCCAAAAAGGAACTACTACGGGGCCTATGGGTAAGGCTTTGGGATTAGGGTTTAGGGTTTAGCGCTTAGGCCCCATACAGTAGTAGTTCCTTTTTGGGATTACCTTATAGGATCCTAAATATGAACCCCAAAAAGGAACTACTATGGGGCTAGCGCTTAGGTTTAAAATCCATTCCAAACCCCAATGCCATGCCAAGCTCTAGCCTTGCGCCTTCTCTCTTCTCTTCCCAGACCCCCAAAAAGATCTAAAGAATAGATCCCGTAAGGGGGTTCCTATAAAGTACCCTTTAGTAGTTAGGGTCCCATAATTAGGGGATCTATTGTTTAGATCCTTTTGGGGGTCTGGGTTCAAGGCACCCAGAGAGCCCAATACCCCTTAATTAAGGAGTATAGCTTAAACGATAATATTAAGGCCCCTATACCTTAAGCTATATTACTTAATTAAGGGGTATTGGGCTCTCTGGGCAATTTGGGTTTAGGGTTTCCCTGTGCCTTAAAATCTGCATCCTGGTCTGAGACCTTAAGATCAGGAAGCCTCCTTGCTCTGAAGCCTCGTGTTGGATATCTCATCTGGCCTACACCCACCACTATCCGCTAATCTATCCAAACTTTCCTGAAATCCCCCACACGGAGCCCAGAGGAAGACGATCAATCCTAAACTCTACGCCTCTTCACGACTGCTTTTGAATGAGGGACAGCGCTTCCTGGCCCGTCATGGTGTAGAGCGACTCGTTGAGGCAGCGGAACCTCAAGGAGAAGCCTACAGTAGGACAGGAAGTCCTGAAGCCTTTTCCATCCAAAAGTATACCCTCAAATGTAATGTAGGGGCCTAAATGATTAGAATATGGTCTTGGGGCCCATTATACAATACTTATAATAAGGAACCCCAAAATAGTATCGGTTAGTATAAGTAATTATTTAGGTCCCCCATATTTGCCCGGATCCTTTGCGAGACCATGGCTCGGGATTCAAACGTCGGACTGTTGGATTTAAGTTGGATTTGGATATACCAGTCTCAGCTGGCAACTTATACTGTATAGGGTCATTCTGCTGGACGTATCGTCGGGATACAGAATGATGGCGCGGGTCTCCTATGCAATGTACGAGCATATAACTAGATTGACATAAACATGGGAAACAACACACCTACCTACCTACCTACCTACCTACCTACCTACCTACCTACCTACCTACTTACCTACCTACCTATGCATGAAGGCATGATGTGTGCGGGTATAAATATGTTCACGTTAGTGTTCAACGTTTGTTTGACCATTGACATATCTGCCTTTCACTGATTCATCTATTTGTACTATTTGGACATTCATTTACCCACTCTTCTGCTATGTATCTATGCGTGTTTGTTTATTGTCTGACTGTCCAGCCATTGAACACCATTTTGCTTGCTGGTCTCTCTCTCTCTCTCTCTCTCTGCCGGTGTGAACATACATTTATACATCCAGACATGTGGGTCGCTACAAAACATGTGCACAGTGCATATTTTCGTACCGCACAAGTACTTAGTACTAGATATACTCATATGCACATGTATATATATATATATATATGCATGCGCACATGCCTACATCCATGCACCCATGCGTGCATGTGTGCATACATGCATGCATACATACGTACATACGTACATACATACATACATACATACATACATACATACATACATACATACATACATACATGTCGGCATTTGCTTGTATTGATATTTATGTTTGTGACTATACCTATACCTAAACTT